AAGCGGCCTTACTCATTAAAGATCTGTCTACACTTTGTAGCAAAGGTGGTTTTCATCTGACAAAATGGATTAGTAACTCAAAACAAGTCTTAGAATCTGTTCCAGAAGATGATCGAGCTAAAGATGTGCAGGAATGGAACCTCGAAGGTGAAAGTGAAACACTTGTAGAACGTGCACTAGGTGTGTACTGGCTTGTTAACAGTGACCATTTAGAATTTCTGATAAACATTAAAAATCAGCCAACAACCAGAAGAGGAATTCTATCAATAGTGAGCTCAATATTTGATCCTCTTGGTATCGTGTCACCTTTTGTGATGACAGCAAAGACACTTCTTCAAAAAATGTGCAAAAATTCAATTGGATGGGATGAAGAGATTAAAGGAAGTCAGCTTAAGGACTGGAAAAATTGGCTGACACAAGCAAAAGAACTTGAAAATGTAACACTTGAAAGATGCTACAAGCCACAAGACTTCGGGAGGACGACATGTCAGGAGTTGCACTGTTTTGCAGATGCAAGTGAAGTTGGAATAGGAGTTGTTATATATCTACGACTCATCAGTGAGACTGGACAAATCCACTGTTCCTTTGTTCTTGGAAAGTCAAGAGTGGCACCGTTAAAAACAGTGACAATACCGAGGCTTGAGTTGACGGCATCAACTTTAGCAGTGAAATTATGCAAGATAGTTACAAAACAATTGGAATATCAAGTTGATCAAGTTTACTTCTGGACAGATAGCATGTCAGTTCTTCGTTACATAAATAACACAAAAACTCGTTTTCAAACATTTGTTGCCAATAGGCTTGCCATAATTCATGCAGCAACTACAGTCAACCAGTGGCACTATGTCAACTCTAAAGATAATCAAGCAGACTCTGCGTCAAGGGGAATACCAGTAGTAAGTAGATTTCTTGACTCAGCAGCATGGTTCAGTGGTCCTGAGTGGTTATGGAAAGCAGATGTTTCATGGCCGTCTACTGAAATCATTAGCGACTCATCAGAAATTGACAGTGCTGAAATAAAGGACAGCGTCAACACAGCAGTTGAAACAGAAACAGTAGAAGGAATGGAGAGATTACTCCAGCACTTCTCTTCCTGGAAAAAGCTGAAAACAGTGACTGGATGGCTACTCTTAGCGCGAGAAAACCTCAAAGGAATAATGAAGAGGAAAAGAGAATGGAGATCAAGAATGATATCGGAGGGATTGACAGAAGAGAAAATACAAGAATTAGAAATGAAGGAAAAACATAACAGATTGAAAAATGATACACAAAGACCTTCATTAAATGTAGACATTCTTGACAGAGCAGAAACAGACATTTTGAAGTATGTGCAGATGAAGCATTTTGCCCAAGAATTTAAAGACTTGAATTCAAGTGAAAATGGAGTTGTTAAAAGGTTATCAAGATTAGCCAAGTTAGACCCAATTGTTCACAATGGAGTTCTACGTGTAGGCGGTAGACTTAAGAAACTGGATACAACTCTTAACAGTAAACATCAAATTATTATTCCCAAAGAGTCTGTATTAGCCAGGTTAATAGCAGAGGAAGCACATAAATCTGTCGGACACTTGGGAAAAAATTCAACGCTGGCACTTATTCGTGAGAAATATTGGATTCTTGGTGTGTCATCAATTTTGAAGTCCATCATTTCCAGATGTGTTATATGCAGAAGATATCAGGCACCTACTTTGAAACAGAAAATGGCAGACCTTCCCAGCGAGAGACTGAAACCTGATGACCCCCCTTTTACTCGAGTGGGAATGGATTATTTTGGTCCATTTGAGCTTAAAAGAGGAAGAAGCATAGTAAAACGGTACGGTGTCATATTTACTTGTCTATCTTCCCGAGCAGTACATTTAGAGGTTGCCTTTTCCTTGAATACAGACTCCTGTATTGACGCCATTCGAAGGCTTATTGCACGACGAGGAAAACCAACTTATATAGTGTCTGATAATGGAACGAATCTGGTAGGTGCTGAACGTGAGCTCAGAACAGCACTTCATTCCTGGAATACGAACAGCATTTCCAGTCAATTATTACAGTCAGGAATTGAATGGAGCTTTAATCCACCGGCTGCGTCTCACTTTGGAGGAGTATGGGAACGCCTCATCAGGATAGTCAGGAAAATCATGTATTCTGTTCTACATGAACAAACAATTCATTTGGATGATGAGGGACTGTTAACCTTGTTTTGTGAAATTGAAGCTATTATGAATGGACGACCCCTTACAGAAGCTTCAGATGATCCGAATGACCTTTGTGCACTTACACCAAATCATATACTACTCATGAGATCAGGAGAGAGCTTTCCCCCTGGAATTTTCCATACATCTGACAACTACGCAAAACGTCGATGGAAGCAGATTCAGTATTTGGCTGATGTTTTCTGGACACGTTGGATCAGAGAATATGTACCCCTTCTCCAACAGAGACAGAAGTGGCTGAAGCAGGAAAGAAACTTACAAGAGGGTGATTTAGTTCTCATTGTGGAAAACACTCCAAGAAACGCATGGAATCTTGGTAGAGTGCTCGAAGTGATAAAAGACAACTATGATGTTGTGCGTGTTGCAAGGATAAAGACAGTGTCTTCCATAATTACGCGGCCAGTGACAAAACTTTGTCTTCTTTTGGAAACAGATTGTGAAAAAGAGAAAACAAATCAGTGAACCTTTGTGCAATGAAACGTTTAATGAATTAACTCATTTTGAATACATTGTTTTGTCCATTTTTGATAAATATGTTTTTGTAAAAACACATTTAGGGGCCGGTGTAATGGACAATCTGTATATTTTATTTTGAATTCCAATTTTGTCCGTAAGTTTCGATTTCTGTGCATTCCAATTTTATCAGAATGATACGTTTATCAAATGTTGAGAAATGCACGAGCGGCATATTTAGATCAATGAGTGCAGTAGTTTGTTGTGTTCTAGCTGAAAGTACCAGACATACATCACGGTAATTATATATTAATAATTTATTACATACTGTCTGCTATATGCATTTACTTGTTACATTGAATTTGAGTAGGAATTTGTCATATTACCACTGTTTACAAAGTTTAATATAAGGAGCACTTTTTGTGTCATGATTTATATTGATAAAAGGTTACATTATATGTATATTCTGTATTGAGTACAAGTATTTATTATATTTACATTTCATTTGTAGTCAATCTATGTCAGAAACAGGGACTTTGTCATACTATGTCAGAGACAAGGACTTTGTTATACAATGCCAGAATGTGTCCATGTTAATAAAGACATTGAATTGAACCTGTGTCGTTGGTACAAGAGAACACTGCATGCCTAGATAGCCGAGCGGTCTAGCGCGCTGTTCCTGTACTGCTAGGAGACAGATTCCGTAGGTCGAGAGTTCAACCCCGGGCTGGGGCGGAAGTGGGTATCCTTATAAAAAGTGAATTTCTTTGTGCTTTCTATATATATATATATATATATATATATATATATATATATATATATATATATATATATATATATATATAACCTTGTGTGTGTGTGTATATATATATATATATATATATATATATATATATATATATATATATATATATATATATATATATATATATATTTGTTTGTATGTATATTTTTATATTTCATATTTATAAGTAATTTTACAATCAAAATAAGAAAAATTTGATTATAATTTTGTATAAACGATGTTCTTTTCTTACTTGAATTCATTTATATCATATATGATTTATTTACGTTCTTTTTTTAATAGAGAGAGGGGATATTTCGCTGTTATTCCTAGACATTTTCATAATACGAAAAATGCATCGTTTAATAAATTCAACGAAAAAACAAACAATGGAATTTTAGTCTAAAAACGTAAAATAAACAGAAAAATATATAGAGCACTGAATAATAATTTGGTCATCAGACAAACAGAAAAAAAACTATATACTATTTTGATACATTTTATATTTAAGTTCATACACACAAATCTTAATATTTTTGTCAAACACCATCCCTGTACAAGTACTTCTGAAGCTTACAACTATTATTGTATTTTTCCAGTTTAATTCTTCCTAGAGATTAATAACAGCAACAATAAAAAAAAATAATGCTTACTAATATAAATTACCTAGAACAGTTTACAACTTTCTCTAAAAATTGTCTGCTATTATGCCACACAAAAAAATAAAATTCAAGAAAAAACACGCTAGCATATCAGGCAATTTTGAACAGTTCAAGTTATTTTATAATTATTATATATATATATATATATATATATATTTGAAAAGAACAAACTGATATACCAATAGGTTCCATAAATTATAACTATTATATATATATATATATCATCAGGTAGCGTTATAACGTCACATGTTTGAATTGTTTTGAATTGTAAAACGTCTGAAGAAGTAATGAAAGCGCTTACGTTTTACTAACATTGTTGCCTTGTTATTTTTTATTTTCATAATATTTACATTTGCAAATGTTTTCTTTTATATAACACTATTAAAAGCAACGCGTATCTATATCCGTATAAACACGGGTTCCTCGCGTCATAAACGTTCGACGTAATTTCTCAGTGACGTCACAAAGGGTCGACGCGCAATCAGAGGATCAAACACGTGTCGTTGGGTTTGAAAAATAAAACGTTTCACGCGTTAAAGATTATAATCAGGCAAATATAAAATATGAATAAGTCACAAATGTAAATATAAGTAATAAGGTATCATTTTAAAACATCTATCGGGCTATAAATACGGGTTGGTACGAGATCAAATTTACCATAAAGCCCTTCGGGCTTTATGGAATTTGATCTCGTGACCAACCCGTATTTATAGCCCGATAGATGTTTAAAAATAATACCTTATTTCTTAATTAATTACCGGACACTGTGATATTTCTTTTCATTTTTTGGAGATATATATATATATATATATATATATATATATATATATATATATATATATATATATATATATATATATATATATATATATATTCTTGACCATTTATGACTCTAAAAAAATCAGCAAAACTGCCCCGACTTTATTTGAAAAGAACAAACTGATATACCAATAGGTTCCATAAATTATAACTATTAAATTCTAAGCACTATGAATAACAGTTCTGTGCTTAACAGATGGTGCTACTGGTTTTGATGAAAGAGACGCAGTTTTATTACTCATAACTTTTTCCCCTTGTGCACACGATCTCCTAGTTGTAGTCGGAGGATTTGGGTTCAATTTTAAGCGGCAAGAAGCATTTATTTTCTCAAAACTGCACTGCAAGCTGAATAAATAAGAAATTCTTGTTTTTCTGGTTTGTGGAAATGACAGATAATATAGTGACAATAGTTATGGAAATTATATTATAAAGTTTTATATTACAGAAAATTTTATCAGAATTTATGTTCTCGATTATGCTGTTTCATTGTGTGTATTTGATAGTAATAAAGTTAAAAACAAGAGGTTAATGAAACAACGCTCACCTGAGTCACCATGATGGCCTTTAAAGAAGATATTTTTAAAATTTTTCCTCTATTTATTCTTATGGGAAAAAGCTGACCCCTTATTGTGACCCCATCCTAATCCACTGAACCATAATTTACAGTTGCATTTCCAGATCGGAAGTGCAGATTTAACATAATATATCCATATTACTCCATATATCTGCAATATTCATATACATGTAGGAATTTCTTATTTATTTTAAACTTTTGTTTGGTTAACGCAAGAACTGGGAGGAATCGCGCCTTTGCAATTCGCAAATAATAGTGGGTATAAAGTTTATTGCAGAAAAAAAATATTGGGATAAAATAAGAAATAAATACAGGATACATTTTTCTTGCAAAACTGTACACTTAACTTACTTTTCAGTGAATTTTAACATTTTAATTTTCAATTAAATTGTTACATATTTAACAAGTAAAGTAATTCATGGATGTAAAAATCCGAGCTTAAGGATATGAATATATCATCGGCAAAGAACAAGGTACGGTTTCAATACAAATCTAGCCCTGTGTTTTTCTTAAAAATTAAAGTAATGTAAAAAATTAAAACTCCTGCTTTCTGAATCATTTAACTTCCATGCAGAAAGATCATACAAATCATTTTTCTCACATGACCTTCTAAATGCTAATTGTGACGTTATAAACTTGTGCATTTTCCCGTATTTTCTTAAAAAGTTGCAGAAGACAACAATTTTCAATGGAATTTTCTTTCAGATAATGTTGTCCACAGGCATCGCCCACAAAGATTTTGAGATATGTGATTTTTCAAAGAATTTTACACAACATATCCGAAAATTAAAGTGGGCGACGGCTGTGGACACTATTTTCTTAAGGAAAATAACTCTTGAAATGGGTCATTTTGAGGCTTTTTCTGTTTAAAATAGAGAAATGCATCAAATTAATGACATCATATTTCCAGAATGGTACTCCTTCATGCCATATTCTTTCCTGATTTATCACAGCCATATACTCAACTAATATTTAAGCCAGTTTCAAAACCTTTTGAAAACATTAAATTTTTAGGGCACAATAAAGCTGAAACCGTACCTTCTTCTTTTTTGTTACAAATGTAATATACATGTATATCCAAAAACAACATTCATGAATGTCTTAATGGTTTCTGTCAGCATTACACGTGCTGTTACCTAAGTTCTCTGTCACATAATGCCAACGTTTTCTCAGATTCAGTGCTGTGATAGACATCACAAACGTGAAGTGCCGAAAAATAATTTATTTGTCATTTGTAGCTGTAGTGTATTCAAATGAAAAAAAATACCTGGTCTTAAACTTCACAGAATATTTAGAAGTAATTTTTGCAGTGTAACAATTATTTGAAAACTCACTGCGTTATTTTTGTTTATATCTTACGTATTCTATGTCCGATTGCAGGGATTTAAAAAAAACTTTTTATTCATATTTTTTATGCATATCAATAATATCATTCATATCCATTGAAAATCAATAATTTCACGTAAGTTCAAATCATTAAACGAGTTTTTTTTAGAAATAGAATTCAAAATTGTAAACGAAACGGCAATGTAAGTTTGTCTTTGTCCCCTTTATTCTCTATGTTAGCTGGATTCATCGTCACCACTAAAGTTACTTAAGGAGATTTGTGAGCACGGCGTTCAGAAAGCCTGTAGCTTCAGATGTAGAAAAATCATATCCACTTTGAGAATTTGAGTATTTAGAGGAAAGTTCTCATTATTGAAAGTTGTGAATTTATGATAAGCAAAACTTTTCCGAGGAAAATTTTCTCGGTAAAAATTATTGTTTTAAAAAATTAATGTGGTCTTTGTGGGGTTCGAACCCTAGCAATAAAAACCATGTGTATCATTTTCCTTTAAGACTAACATGCTAACTACTACGCTACACAATTCCTGAAGAATAGTGGCATTTAAATCATGTTTGTTATTTGACCCTCGACTAGATAGAGTTTTTCTCGGAGAGTTTTTCTGCAAATGTTGTGTTTTCATAAAATTATATTTTTATGGTGTAGTGGGTCCTTGATCCATGTTGATTTACCCCCAAAAAAGTATATTTTCACGCAAAAATTGAGGATAAACTTTCAAAAAATGGAGGGAAGGACCCACTCATATCGAAATATTGTGTTATAGTCCTTTTAACCCTCTTTAGTGTGTGTGTGTGCTATTTCAAAGAAAATAATAACAAACTTTGTATTTTTTTTTTTTTTTGCAAATTGTAGAGATTTTACTTTAAGAAAACAATGTTAGATGGAATATCCAAAAAAAAAATATTTTGTTATAAATGAGATTTACGGAAGCCCGTTAAAGCCAGTTCAGAGAAAGAAATATTTTTTATTGCATTTAAACGCAATAAGTATTGCGTTTAAACGCAAAACATTACATTTAATCGCAATAATCATTGCGTTTCAACGCAAAAGATTGCGTTTAATCGCAATGTATATTGCGTTTAAACGCAAAACACTTTGCGTTTAATCGCCAAAGATTGCAATTAAACGCAATCTTTTGCGTTTAAACGCAATAACTTTGCGATTAAACGCAATAGTTTTTGCGTTTAAACCCAATGATATTTTTGCGCTTAAACAAAATGATTTTTGCGATTAAACGCGATAATTTTTGCGTTTAAACGCAATAATACTGCGATTAAACGCAATACTTTTGCGATTAAACGAAATATTTTTTGCGTTTGAACGCAATACTTTTGCGTTTAAACGCAATAATCTTTACGCTCAAAGGCAATAATCTTTGTGTTTAAAGGCAGTCATTTGTATCAAACCTTGCAGAGTACAATGGACCCATGCATACTTATATCTTTTATTTCTTTCTCTTTTTACTTATTAGGAAATTGTGTATTGTCTAGCTTTATAAAATCAGATTTCTCCGAGCAAACGCTCTCTGAAAGGATAAAGCACTAATAAGAAATGATAGAGGAGGAAAAAATGTCGGGTTGTAAAAAGAAAGGCAACCTCAGAACGAGACATGTATAAAGGGATTTTTGGAAAGGACTGAGGAAATGTTGGAATTACGTATAACATGATGAAGTATTTAGATTTAAATGTACATTCATAACCCTTCCTATGGTTGCATACAGTAAACGCAAGAACAAATGTGATGAATTTATATTAGATCAAAATCAAATGAAAAAAGATTGATCGATGTGTACTACATGTATAAAATTGACAAGTGCTATTAATACAACTGAAACATTCTCTATAAGATGTGATATACTTAAGCAATTCATCAGAAACTTCATTAAGAGTTTCGGTTCAAATACATTAAGACATTCAGGTTGTTAGGATGCCATTTTTTTACTACAATTTTCAAAAACTGGAAAATTTTGCAAAAAGACACAGAACAAATCGGATCTTCTTAATGTTGAAGTGTCGGATCCTAGTACATGTGCATGTAATTATAAGCTTTGACCAATTCATGTTTGATTTTATTGCGTTTATTTGCAAAAGTGTTGCGTTTACTCGCAAAAGATTGCGTTTAATCGCAATCTTTTGCGTTTAAATGCAAAGTGTTTTGCATTTAAACGCAGTATACATTGCGATTTATCGCAATCTTTTGCGTTTAAACGCAATGATTATTGCGATTAAACGCAATGTTTTGCGTTTACACGCGATAAAAATATCTCTTTCTTTGAACTGTCCTCAACGGGCTTCTGTAGAGATTTAATGTTTCACTTTTATGTTTGTCGCACTATAGGCACTTTGCTCGCCTTGTTGGCCTATCTTCTTTGGGAGCATTAAATCTGTTTATGGTTCGTGTGTAGCGTGTTCAATTCAAGATATCACTGAAGAATACTTTTTAGCTCACCTGAGCCGACGGCTCAAGTAAGCTTTTCTGATCAAAGAGTGTCCGGCGTCCGTCTGTCGTCTGTAAACTTTTCACATTTTCGACTTCTTCTCAAGAACCACTGGGCCAATTTCAACCAAACTTGCCACAAAGCATCCTTGGGTAAAGGGGATTCAAGTTTTTTCACAGGAAGTGCCGCGCCTCTTTCAAGGGGAGATAATTAAGAATTCGTAAAAAATTGGTGGTATCTTTTAAAAATCTTCTTCTCAAGAACCACTGGGCAAGAAAAGATGAAACTTATGTGAAATCTTCATTACATACTCTAGATTCAAATTTGTTCATATCATAACCCCGGGGGTAGGGCTGGGCCATCAGAGGGGGTCAAAGTTTTATATAGGAATATATAAGGAATATCTTTAAAAATCTTCTTCTCAAGAACAGCAAAGCTATGATTAGTCATATTATTACAGAAGTATCCTCAGGTATTGTAGATTCAAGTTTGTTCCAACCATGACCCCTGGGGGTAGGAAAGGGCCACAACGGGGGGGGGGGTCAAAGTTTACCATGGGAATATATAGGAAATACCTTTAAAAATATTCTTTTCAAGAACAGCTAAGCCATTATTAGACATATTAATACAGAAGTATCCTCAGGCAGTGTAGATTCAAATTTGTTCCAATCATGACCCCTTGGGGTAGGACAGGGTCACAACAGGGGGGGGGGGGATTTACCATAGGAATATATAGGAAATATCTTTTAAAAATTTTCTCAAGAACAGCTAAGCCATTATTATTACAGAAGTATCCTCAGGTATTGTAGATTCAAGTTTGTTCCAACCATGACCCCTGGGGGTAGGAAAGGGCCACAACGGGGGGGGGGGGTCAAAGTTTACCATGGGAATATATAGGAAATACCTTTAAAAATATTCTTTTCAAGAACAGCTAAGCCATTATTAGACATATTAATACAGAAGTATCCTCAGGTAGTGTAGATTCAAG